TTTTTTTTCTCATAGATTCTCTGACTTTCTAACTATAATAGTAGATTTATTGATCAATTTTGTATGACATTACATTGACTTTAATACAGAGTATCTAATTTGATTATTCATTTCTTGTGTATTTCTTAATAAACTGTTAGCGCATGCCCTGTGGGATTAAAATATGAAACATGAAGTAGCTACTGTTGTTAATCACAAGGAGATTGTTTTATTCTATTTATTTTGGGACACATTTCTTTCTTATCCTTTTCTTTAATCCTTCACAAATGAAATAAGGAAGTAGTTCATATATTATAACGAAACATTATTGATATACAGTCTATGATCGTCTATCACGACTAGACTTCGACGATTCTAAAAACTGGAGTCGAAAATCGACTCAGATCGTTAAATCACCAGATCTTTAATCTCAATAATTCAGTAGTGAAGATCTCTCAAAATAGATTTAGAATTTTCGTATCTCTCTAATGATTCAACGGTTCCAGTTTCGCGCGATACTTTTAGAATCAAACTGAAGCCACCGAACTCTCGTCACAGTCTGTAGTATGGAGTAGAAGTCCAAATTATTACTCCTATGCTTCAACATTTCTTTTCAATTGTGTTTGACAGAATTTATGTTCATTATTCTTTAGTCTTCATAGGCAAGTTTAAATCTAAGTTTGTCTTCAATTTAATGAATTATTTTAAAATTTTCAATGTCATTTATCAAAGGAATGCATTATTCACTTACCATCATTAGAAATATGAAAATTTGGATCAAATCCTTTTTCTAAATATCTAGTAACTTTTGAAACTTGATTTGTCTTGATACAATCGACAAATTTTTTTGTGCTAATCTTTTTTTTTTGATTATTATTAATAGAAAATAAATTCAAAAGATATTATTCAATAAAAAAAAAAAGAAGCATACTTTTGAATTAATATTTCTCTGCACAAGATGAATTGCTTTATAAACACGTCTTTTATATTTAAACTATAATAGATAAAAAAAAAAAAGAAATTCTCTTCATATAAAATTTTTATTTAAAAGAAATATTTACTTCTAGATAACTAACAGGTCCACTTAATGGATATTCTCTGAGACAACGAGATTCATCAAGAAATTTTCCTGCTCGACCATTACATGGTGGTAAATATAATCCAAAATTTAAACCATCAGTTAATTCCTACAAATAAAATCATTTTTGATTTTTGATTTTTCAAAAACAAAAATCTTTACTCGAACAAGAACTTGTAAAACTTTTTGTTTTGCACTCCATACAGTATCATCCAAATTAAATTTGAGAACTTTTTGTAAATTATGATCTTCAACAGCTATTCGTACATAAATAAAACTATTATCTTGTTCAATTCCACTATCATCTTTTTCATCTTGTTGATGTTGTACTGTATTAGTTTGGATTAGTTCACTTTCCATTTATTTTTTTTTTTGTATTTTACTTAACCATCTGAAAAAATAAATCAATGATGAAATAAATAAAATAATAATTTCTAAACATATTTAGTTTGATAACATAGAAAATAAAAACGAATCGAAATGAATTATCTTATTTTGTATAAATCCGATATTAATTTACATATAGAAAAAGATTTTTCTTTGAATGAATTTATTACAATTACCAATAAGCATCGTCGTAATTTGATTCTCGACTTTTCTTTTCTCTTACTCGATTTTATTTATTTTCACTTCGTTATCAAAACTGTTCAATATGGCTCTTGAAAGAAGGTGAGAAGAAAAGAACGGCACACACAATCAATCGGTCGATGTCCGTCTGGGGCAATAAAAACAAAGCGATTCGTGTCCATTTTTGAATGATACTCTTCAAAAAAGAAAAAAAGAAAAAGAAATATTTAAAGAACCAAACAAAAGAGGCACCTGTTAGTTATAACTATTACGTCATTTTCAATACATTCATCTTTATTCAAGTAACAGTAGCAAAAAGAAAAAAAAGAAATATATACATATGTATATATATATATGTATATATATATATATTTGTTAACCTCAATATTCGACATAAGAAGATAAGACGTTAGTGATGTTCGTTATTTTATTCGTTCGTTCTCCAAGGTGTATATCTGATGAACATCAACAACAACAACAATGAAAAATATGTATGATGTTAACGATCGGTTGGGAAGGGTGACCGATACTCTGTCTAGAAGAGGAAAGAGAAAAAGAAAAGCAAATAAAATAAAAAAAAAAGTGAACGAAAGTATGATGATCAAATCAAATAATATATTCGTATTCATCCAAGAAAAATAAAATATGATAAAGTTTATTTTAACTTTAGTTCAACGTTAAGAACAAAAATATTTTCTTCTTGATTTAATTGTCAAACAAAAACTAAGATAACGAATAATGTCTACATATAAATATACATATTTTATCAGTACCATTCGTTTTCTCGTTTGCTCAATTCATTCAATATCGATTGCTAATCTTCAATAAATATGAATGAGACAATCTGATAAATGTGTACTTTAATGCAACATATTCAATATAAAACAAAAAAAAAACGATATTAACAATTTATTTTTCTATTTTTCCCTTGACAAAAGAAGCAACAGATTAGTATAGATTGCACTATGTTTGAACTCATTTATGTGTGAATACAAGGTCTTAGATGATGTAATCGTCTTTCTCTTTTTTTTTTGATTCTCTTACTTCAGCGGGTTCTTTTTGCGTTGTGAAAGAAAAGATAATAACTGGGTCACCCACTCTAATGGCTTTTATAGAGCATCTGCGTATTGGCACCGAGGGTGAAAGCCTTGAAGGTATAAGTGGTACGTGTGCCGACAAGGAAAAAAAAGAAAGAAAAAAAAAAGAACAGTAATTCTAATGAGTCTGCAAGTAAAATGAAGGTCGAGAGGTCTTCCTTACGTATATACATCTGCTGAGAATACCACCAAGTGAGACGGTGAAATCTCCAAAAAGAATTACATGTACAAGAATATATTAAGTACTATGCTTGAGAAGAGTATGTTAAAGTTGAATAAATAAAATCAATTTATGCACTTTTCGTTTTTTTTTCTTTTATAATAAAATTTCAATATATATGAACTACTCAAATAATTAACGATCCATTTCTCTTTTCAATATACAACTAATATGAAATTTCTTTTACAAAAATGTTGTACAATTTTGCAAAAAGTTAATTATAAATCTACTTACTATGAAGTTTACTTTACCATCAATAGGCATTCAAGTAATCGATCATAATCATTTATCCATTTGAAATCGACTCATTGCTCATAAACTCATTGAAATAAGCAAATATAAAATACAGACATACAATCTCTATGAACTGGTTTTTTTCAATATGTCAAGCAGGGTCATTTCTTCTTTCTTCAAAAGAGACAAATCCTTTTCTCAATATTGATGATGATTTTACAAACGGCGGTTGTCCATTAGATGACCTATCTAACAATAACATGGCTCTTTATCCTTGTTAAACGATGACACACATAAAAAAAGGAAATCAGTGTATACAAACACACAGAAAAAAAAGACTAAGATAACCTTAAACATGGTAAAAAGTAAGATCTATCTTCATTAAAAATAAATTTCCCAGAACAAGTTACTACAAAAAAAAAAAGAATGATTTACCTATATTACATGTTTGAAATGGTGCTGTGACGTATTCTATCAATATATCCGTCTGTACTCTCACTTTTTTTTTCATTCTTATTTTACTTTAAATTGCGTGTCCATTTGAACACGAGAGGAGGAAAAAAAGAAGAGAATAAGTCAAAAGTGTATGTAAAGTAGTAATAGAGCAGTTCAACTGCCCGACTAAACCACCAAGTTACGAACGAGTGAGAAAAGAAGAAAAAGAGATTTTTTTTTGACCGACGTTGAATGAAGAAGGGAAAAAATAAAGTCATTTCTAATCATGAAGAATAAATGAAGTTTTTCTTTTTTTTTTAAACCATTATCAAATCATTTATACAGTTAACACCAAATAATGATGACAACGTCATTTCAAGTTGATGTATGTTGGCATTTAAATCGCAATCTGATTAGCCATTAAAGCATAATTCAACATACAACATCGAAAAACGTCAATTTGAGAACATTTAAAGCAACTGATTGCTGAATAAATTAATATTTTGTTTAGAAAAAAAAAATTCTAAAGAATGTCGAGAAACACTGAATAAATAATAAGAATTCATCATGCATGAACTTTTTTTTTACGTATCTTAACAATGGATTAAAACAAGCAAACTTAATGTTGATGAATATAAGGAGCCTTTCGTATGATGTGAGTAGTCTTGCATGTATATCAAAGATGAATTATTACTCATAAAGACATCAAACAATAGAAAAGAAAACGAAATTAATCATCATTACATATGAAACTTATTTAGAGTTCGATTCTCGTGTATTGTAGCTTAAATTATAAGATAAAGTTTATGTTAACTAATCACAAGGTCATAATGATATACTGCTATTCATTGTGTTTATTTTACATAGACACTGAAAATCAACTGCTTTTAATTTCGGTTCTGCCCATGTCTATCTACTTCAACATACTTTGAATTCAAGAGGAAAAGTTTTTAGCGCAATTCCTGCAGGGTTAAAATGTAAAACATGTTGTCGCTACTGTTATTAATCATAGAGAGATCGTTTTATTCTATCTATCTTGAGATGCATTTCTTCACCTCTTCCCCTCCTCCCTCCCTTCCACCTAATCCTCTAGAAATACAATAAGGAAGTAGTTCATATGTTGTAACGAGCTGTTATTGTTCTACGATTTGTGATCGTAAATCAACAACGCATGTCACGGTCGGGGAGGAGGGTAGATGCAAATTTCTACTCTATATATTTTAACACTACTCTCTCATAAAAGAGTGAAATCCTGTATTTCTCAGGGTTTACAACAAGTTTTTAAAGGTTTATCATCTGCCCGAGGAGAAACAAATGAAATCCTGGATCTTATGACTTCCCTCAGATTTCGAGATTCCGCTATGTATCCGTTGTTTTGTATCGTTCATGAATTTAACTTGATGAAATTAATCTTGATAAATAAGAAATCATAATAAATATTCGATTATGAATTAAGAATATATTCTCAATTTTTTTTTCTTATTATGACAATTTCATTATGCAAAATTCTAATCATTATGAGAGGAACAATTAAAAGAGAAGGATAGCTAAAATAGAAATTAGTCTTGTTTGCGTTAAATAGTGCATTAAAAATCTTTCGTCTTATTTATCCTAAGTGACAGAATTAATGAATTGTATGTGTTTCTGTATATTTACAATAAAATTACTTTTCTAACAATTATGTCTCATAAATAAAATAACGAATGAAATCTATACAATTTTATTATTATCTTTTGTCACGAAAGACAATTGTTTTAAATATTTGATCATGTTTCAGTAAAAAAAAAAATAAGATAATGAAGGATGATATGGAGTATGCTGAAAAACACTCTTAAATTAATAGTTAGCAATCATATCAATGAACTTACTCTTCGAAATTAAATTATTGCATTGAATAAATTTGTTGACAAGAAATCAACAAGCAGGAGAAAATTGAATATCAATTGTAAACGAAAAACTTTATAAGAATTGTTTTGATCAAATTAGCTGAAGGCATTTAAAAAAATATATCTATTTTTGATCGTTTATGGATTTGAGTTTCTGAATTATTTGATAAAATTTTCACATGAATTAAAAATAGTGGGACCAATTCCGTAGAAAGAATTTCAAATGTTTTTTGCGACTTGCTAAAGAAATATTTTTTAGGTAAGTTCTATAAAAAGAAAATTTTATTTACCTTTGAGGTTTTTCTATTCACAATGTTATCTTTCATTCATTAATATTTTATGTTATTGGTTTAGAATTTTTAATAAGATGAATCTATTGAATGTTACGCTTGAAAGTGCTCTTTCCTCTTTCGTAACCCAAAATTTTTGTTTTTTTGTGTCATTGTATAGTATCTATCTACTGACGAGGGAAGTACCCAAAGTGTTCCCTCGACTTCGAGCTCATATTTTGCCCACAAGTAGATCTCAATGTCAACAGCCAAAGCCTGAACAAGAAAAATTCAAAACGCGTTGCTATATTCTTGTTATATCTTTTTCCTTATTTCTCCAAAAAAAAAAGAAAATATATCTCTTATTCTAAACTTATTATTTAAAATAAATTTCAATATTCCTATATTTCAATAAAACAATTCACTTTCGACAACAATCGATTCGAATCTATAAAGCTGCTAATCGCACTATTGTCCAATTGAACAACTCGACAAATACGAGATATTTTCATCTAATTTTGTGTGTTTATAATCAGTAGTAACTTTTTCCAATTGCTGACGCACACTGAGATTTTCCTTCGCTTAATGGTACTTTCATAGGTCAAGATACAACGATTTCTTGAATTCCAAGACTGTAGGAGATTTTTATATTGAGTTTTCTCTCGCACAACGAAACTCTGATAATACTATCAATAATACACTCGTAAATGAATTTTTTTTCTTTTCATTTGAAATTACGAATACATATAAACAAGAAAACAAAAATGTAATGAATTTTCACATGCTTGAATACATTTTCGGTTGCTTATGCAGCTTCTTCCCTGGAAAAGCAGATTTCAAATGTCTTTTTTAATTGTTTGCGCCTTGTTTGATGTGTGTGGTTGATGAGATTCTGATCCACTACCACCAACACCCATTGCACCTGATGAGCCGCCCGATTTCGAATGATCGACGGAAACAGCACCAGATGTTATGCCCTGTTGTGCATTTTGGTTAGCTGACATTTGTTTTGTATCACCATGTTCAGGTTCCAAACCCGTATGAATGTTGCCCGTTTCCATTCTAGATTGTTGATTGCCGCTATTCGACGCTGACATTATGTAATATGAAGAGAATAAGAATATTAGACGAAGATAGTGAAAATAATAATAAATACGTTTATTGCGTACGATCAGTGTTTATAAAGGAAAGAATAGTACGAGCAGAAATGAAGCAAAGGACATTGAGTGTAATTTTTGCTGAGGACAATATCTCAGAATAGAACGTGACGAAAAAGGAAAGAAAAAGAAAAAGAAAAAGATTTGCCATATTTCTTTCTATTTTCTGAGATATATATATTGTATTGTGCTTTCCGGTATTTTGTTTCTCAATTGTGTACCATAGTTTGCGAGTAGCAGTCATTTTTCTTTATAATATTGTCTTGCAGGTAGAATTTAGTTTCATTAGATTCAGCCAAACCAATCTGTGTTGAAAAAGAGTGTTCATAATTGATCTAAATGAATTCTTGAAGATTATGTTTTAGGATCGACGAATAAAATTGTCTAAAATCAAGACTATGATCGTGTGTCACTAAATCTCGTAATTAATCACGGCATCATAGCACACAAAGTCTATCACGATTTGTCGATTAATAGAATATGATCCGTATTGGTCATGATCGCCTCTCTCGCAATGAATCAGGACGCACAGCGGTAAAGCAAGCAATCGGTAATCTGATGGACGAAGAAGTCTCGAAGGTAATGCACTTGACTGATCTATCGACAGTTTTAAATTAATAATATCTTGTAGTTGCTGTTGTGGGTTGAGCTGGTCGAACGAAAGAGAACAGGTTGAAAAATTTGATGATAATGTGACTAGGGATGTGCGGTGTCAGGTTAGTGAACACCGATTGACACCGACAGTGACGCTCAGTGCACACCGACAGACTCAGTGTCACTGATCACTGAAATATCAAACAAACTGACACTGATGTCACCGAAACACCGATGACCAGTGCATCACTGATCACTGATGCACTGACATCCTCGGTATCACTGGTGAACCAGGCACACTGAATTCACTAACACATCAATATTGATTTCTATTGACTGTAATTCATAAGACGAGTATGATGACATCTTCGAGATAAAATATTATAATACGTAGGATGTTCTCATTGGATGAGAGACTAAATTAGCTAAATAGTTTATCAAATGTATTTCAGTTGAGTTAATCTAGATACACTTCCTCACCATTGCATTTAACAGTTACAGTTAGTCTCTGCACTTGAAAAGAAGAAGTTAAATATCAGTCTATTTCAAGCATTTGTATATATGTTTATATTTGAAGGAAGAAAGAAGAATTTAAACATTTTTTCTTCAATAGTTTTGATTTCAAAGTGACATGATTTAACTCTTATCACAAATGATACGGTATTACAGATGAAATGAATACACACAATCTCGTGTGAAATTTTGTATTAAAATACAGAACAACTAAATAATATTGAACTCTTTTTTACCTATATGAATGAGTTCTATGATTAGATCGTTCTTGCTGACATAAAAAAAAAAGAACAATACGTTATTCAGTTTGATTGTTCGCGATGAAAATCTTTAATTCAAATCAACTCAATCTGGAAAAATAGTTTGGTTACTCTTATTGATCATCTCAAACATATGGAGACACGTTTTCAATTTTAAAATGACTTGCCAAAACAAAAATGTTAAGTATACCTGCAATTTCAGTACCAAGCGAAAGTTGTTTCAGTATTTCATCATGTTTACGTAGGAAAGAGCGTGCCCGTTTAACGGGTGAAAATCTTTCGCCAATTGTCTTTCTGAAAGACAAAATAAACTTTAGAAATCGATCTGATTTTTAACCATTTTGTTTTTATTAATTTTCTTGTTCTGTATTTAGAATTGGCGATACTCGTTATCTAAAAAGTTGTTTTATTGTGCAGATATTTTTTTTTTGTTTCTTACTATCTATACTCGATTCTCTTTAATATGTGTTTTATTCTATCTTACATTTTCATTTTATTTGTCTTGATCTTTGAAAGACACCGCATTTATTTTTACTTTCACAAAATTGTCTCTCTACAATATTCATTTATTTATGTGTTTTTTTTTTGTGGAATATTTTCACTTATAACGTATTATCTAATTCTTCTATGAAGATGTATTATTCTTCTTCACGTTTCTCAAAAGAAAGCCGTTACTTCTCTTGAAAAACCACATATATCTAGTTTATGATTGTTGTTTGTTTATTTCAAGCACATATCTTGCAGTATTATATAACAACTAATTATGAGAGGTCAATGGAGTCAGTGTGCCTGATTCACCAGTGACGCCGAGTTTTCAATAATCAGTGACACTGAGTCTATCGGTGTACACTGGGCGCCGCTGTCGGTGACAAAAGTGTCAGTTTTGCCACTGGTACTGCACATCCCTAGCGAGAACTGTATATTGTTTCGCGTTTTTTTTCAAAACAATTTTGCATGAAAAAAGTACAGAAAGACGTCCGTTTGTTCGGCCTGGTACATCCAATTGAGCTGAAACTTTTTACACATATACTACACGCTGTCTGACTTAAGTATCACGATTTTCTTTTTGAAAAATATTGTTCTACTGATTTTCGGTAGCTTCATTCAAAAAAAACATGTATTTTTTAGAGTACCTTCGATATTTTTGGCTTTTTGATTTGAAGAAGAAAATATAAAAAGATACATGCCTCAAACAGTGTCTCATATCTGTAAAAAAAAATGTTCAGCTTGATCGAAGATAACACCTCGGAGAACTGGAGGGGAGAGGGCATTTTCTGCAATCGTGCTCTCAGTATTTCATAGAAGATAACGTTCGGAAACATTTTCTCTATTCGTCAAGATTTACCTGTCCTGAAAATTTCAATTTTCTCTGATGAGTCGTTCTTCAGAAACTCCAAAAAAGGAGGAGAAAGTACGATTCAACTGAACTCATTCAAGTAAGCATAATCAGCTAGAAACTTTAAAAAATTCTTTATAATCTTGTTTAATAATTATAGCATATGTGGAATCAGCTGTGAATTGACAGATGGTTTTATGAAATTGAAGAACTCATAGATGTTTTTTATCAGTAGAGAGTGGAATGAATAGTATTATTTAAATACTCAAACTAACCATGTCAAGAATAATGAGAAAACTTAGATCTCAGATCGACATTATCTTCAAAGGATCCACAACTCTTCATTTTTATTACTGAAAAAATAATTATTCGAAATGAAAAATACATCTTCGTAAAACTACAAAGAGAAATTAGTTGGTTTAAGGATAATAAATCTTCGAAAAATACATGAAATGTCTCTGCAGTTTTATGATGGAAATACCACAGCTGATTTCGATCTTTCGACCTCATCTTGTGACTTTCACTAGATCTCAGTGAGAGTAAAAACAAATTTAAAAGTGTTCTTGACATACAATTACTATCCCATTGGCGCATAAGTTCTGAGAATTTTTTTTTCTGGTTTAACAATAACTTTATTTTTCAACAAAGATATGCTACATCAATCAACAATATAATTGCCATTATTTTCGGCAACCTTCGCCCATCTTTCTGGCAATAGTTCAATTCCACGTCTGTAGAAACTACCCGGTTTCGATTCGAAAAAGGCAGTTGGATCGGATTTCAGCTCATCGAAGTCTTCGTAGTGTTTATTGCACAGGTAGTTATGAAGAGATAGGAACAGATGATAATCGGATGGTGCAAGGTCTGGTGACCACGACGGGTGCGGAAGAACTTCCCATCCTAACTGTTCGATTTTTTGCTGAGTCAACTGTGCCACATGAGGTCGACTATTGTCATGAAGAAGGATGACGGCTTTTTAATTCGCCAAAGTCGGTCGCTTTTGAGATAGAACTTCATGCAATCGCTGTAATTGTTGAGAGTAGACATTGACGGTAATCGTTTGATTGATATCTAACAGCTCGAAATAGATGACACCTTTCATATCTCATCAGATGCACAACATTGTCTTCTTTAGATGCATGTCTGGTTTTACATTCGGAAATGGCTTTTGGCCAGGATCAAGCCACTGCCTTCTGCGATGCACGTTGACATAACACACCCATTTTTCATCTCTAGTGCCAATTTGATCCAAAAAGGGCTCATGCTTTTGTCTGAAAAGCAATGAAGCACAAATCGATGCTCGCTGAACCAAGTTGTCTTTGAATAACTGGTGTGGAACCAAACGTCCATACTTATGTAAAACAATGGCGATTATATTGTTGATTGACGTTGCATATTTTTGTTGAAAAATAAAGTTATTGTTAAACCAGAAAAAAAAAATTCTCAGAACTTATGCGCCAATGTAATATTATGACAAAAAAAAGATGTTTTAATTTTATTTTTTTTTTTCAAATTATTATTCATATATGATTCTAACAATACAATTTCGATCTTAAATAACATATGAGATTGAAACAGTATTATGAAATTATTATCATTCGTTTATTTCCATATAACTGCATTTCTCTTTTCCACATTCATTGAATACAGATGATATATGAATGTATAGCTAGACAATCATTCTGGCAATTTTCAATGTTGTCAAAACTTGCTTTTCTTTTGGTTTGTTTCTATACCATGAGAGCGGTCCACGAAAAATTAAGTTTATCTCTTTAATCCTTTTAGTCCTCTTTATTCTTTTAGGTCCTTTAATCCCTTCAGTTTCTTTTATCTCTCTAGTTCTTTTGAGTGTAGATATGCGTGTATGGACGTGCTTTCTTCATCTACACTCAAAAACATTAAAGAAAATAAAATATTCTTACAGCTCTAAGAGATATGTAAGCATAAAAGTAAAACGAAACAAAATAAATTAAATTTTTCGTGGATCTATGTCTTTGAATAAACTATTAATATCATTAGATTGCCTTTTCTTTATGTTTGGTTTAAGTATTGTATCGTTTTGTTTTTGTTTTTTTTTTGATATATTAAAAGAACTTTATCAAATATAAATCAGAAAATGTTACACAGTGAAAATTGCTTATGACCCACGAGAAATGCGAAATTGCTATTTCTTCTAGCATTAGAAAATTCTATTCTATTGAGAAATTTGTATGTTTAATTGAAGAAGAAAAAGACTC